TATAAAGTGATACTGGGTAAACTTCCAGCATGTCTCTGTAACCTGCTCTGTCTCTGCTCTGGTAGTAACCAGCTACATTCCTCCAAGTGGTTGCTTTTTAATTCACATTATTTGACAGATCTGGGGAAGACTGCATTCTCTAACAATGCACCTGGAATAGATTGCAAAAAGATCTAAAATTAGACACAGTTACATTGATTGATGAATTTAAGCACATCATAAAGAATTTTAGTTTGTGTGTTTATTGTGGATCTTTCTGTATATTCTGTTGTGTATGTTATATTTTAATATGTTGTGATTTTGTCCGCCTGCTACCTTGGCCAGGTCTCCCTTGTAAAAGAGAGTACATAAATCAAGCTTACATGAAAATCAATAAAAAAATTAAACGATCAATTTTACAGATGTTCTAACTCTGTAATTAGATAATAACTAAATTAATATTATAAACATTCAAATGATAAGACAAAAATTATAATGAGGTCATACTACACACGCTATTATATACAAACTGCAGATACACCAACTAGGAATACTGTTAAAGATAATGCAATAAAGTAGCCTACAATTAGGTAATTATGTGCGATACATATGAACAAGTGACATAACAAGCCCACAATGTTAATGTAAATAATGTAATAAACGGAAATAGTATTACAATAGGTGTGCCTACAATAACGTGACAGTCAGGACTGTACCATTGACTGACTGATATTATAAGAATATTTTGGTGATACCACGGGAGCTAAAACTACCATCACGTTCAGTATGATAAGATTATTGTAACACATACTAATCCCTGTAGATGTACAATTTATTTAATAGATGTTGAATGTAATAATAGGATGTAATTCAATGAGTCCAACACTGATGCTCTGCTTTATGAAATTATAATGTTCAAAAAGTGCATTAATTCCTTAACACATAAGGCAGCAGTCCCATAATAACAATATTATATGTGTGTGTGAATAACAAAGATATAATACTATTAGAATATCTGTAAATATTGAAATGAATCCCTTCAATCATTTTTCTGTGGTTAGAGATGATTCAGTTGTGTTGTTGTTGATATAATTGGCATGGTCTCGGTTTCCAGCATGCTTGCAAATTGAGCATCAAATTACATGAATATGCCTCTCGGGCAACCTGTCAGCTTAGCGGGAACAAATGAATCATAAATAATTACACACAGTCAGTGAAGGATACTTTTGTCTCAAACAGGTTTTAACTGCGCCGTAAAGGAAAAGCGAACGCCCAAAGGACTGGTGCTACACGGAGAAAAACCTCTGGCCGGCAAGAGGGGAGAGAAAGATAAAAGAGAAAGGAAAAGAAGAGAAAATACTCTTGGCGCTAAAATTGTTTTCTCCTCCACACTGACAGTCCTGGGAATTATTACCCTGGGATTTTATGGGTATTTATGAAGATGGTTGAAGTGGTTCATGGAAGATATTTGATTCTATAAAAAATCTAATTTCAGACTGGTCTAATTGACTCTAAATATGTGGAAAAAATTATCCCTTTACCCGATAATCAAAAAGGCACCCAGCTTTCACACCCAGCTTTCAGCTTAAACGGCCAAGAAGTCATGCAGAGAGAAATCTGACATTTAATTTAGTCTCTATTGTTCCAGTGTATCTGCTGACGTCAATCACAGCCTGTTAGAAGTTAGTATGGATGGTGGCAAATACATAAAATTATACTATCACTCCATAAATCTGCAATACCATTGTAATTACAGCACATAATGATGTTATTCAGAATTTAACTTGTAGTTGTACTTCAAACTCTTCCTCCAAGTTCTCCAATTTCTATATTGACTCAATTTTTCAATTAAAAACAATATCATGTCTGAAATCTTAGTTCTCCTTGTAGCTAACCTGGGGGTCGGGACGCCCACTAGGGGTCGCTGAAGCTTTATGGGGGGTTCTGAGGCCTTTTAGTTTTTAAGGGGTGTAAGAAAACAAAAAAAAAACATTGTAGGGCTATATCTCGGCATTAGGTTCACTTCTATGAAGAAAAGTCAATTGTGTAATAGAACACTGTAAAACCAGATAGGTTCCTTTAACTTAAAAACAGTCCGAACTGATTACATTAAAACTTTAAGTAAAACTAACTTCCCTCTTGATCAAGTAGCTTTAGTAATGTACTGTGAAAACAAAAGTAAATGGTAAATGGACCTGTACTTGTATAGCGCCTTTCTAGTCTTCCGACCACTCAAAGCGCTTTTTAGACTACGTGCCACTACGTTACACACACAGTTGGTAGCTCAAGCGGGATAAAAACCTTAAAGAGGAGAGAAATGTGGAGCGGCAGCTTATGAGCCCAGAGTCAAATCAAACAGCACGTTTTAAATTAATGACAAGCCTCAGGTGAGAGGATTATCTCGCTGTAATTATTGGTAATTCATATTCCAGCACACATCGGAGCTGACAGCTTCTCTGAGGAGTGCAGACTAATACACCGACATTAGCAAGAAGCGGTCGGCTGAGAAGCAAGCCAAGGTGCCACCGAGTGAGTGTGTGTGTGTGTGGTGAGTGTGTGATGTGATGTGTTACCAGTATTTTTGTGTGACACAACACCTATTAAACCCAAACCTTGCATTCTTGAATACCTACGTGAAAAAAGCGTTGAGGTCGTGGTGTCCGTGTGGGTTCCAGGGAATAAGGATGCTTCCCTTTGGTGGGGTGGGTTAAGCCTGGTATAGGCAGTGTGGCTGTGTGTGTGTGTGTGTGTGTGGTGCGTGTGTGTGTGTGTGTTGTGGTGGTGTGGTGGCTGGGTGGGAGAAGAAGAGATGACCGAAGAGAGAGAGAGATGAAGAAGAAGAGAGAG